TCCGCAGGTGAGTGTCCCAGCCCCGCGCGCGGCGGCGCCGCCAAGCGGAAGAAGAAGCAGCGGCGGAACCGCACCACGTTCAACAGCAGCCAGCTGCAGGCGCTGGAGCGCGTGTTCGAGCGCACGCACTACCCCGACGCCTTCGTGCGGGAGGAGCTCGCCCGGCGCGTCAACCTCAGCGAGGCGCGCGTCCAGGTGAGCGCTGCCCCTCCGCGGGACCCCCGGGGTGGTGCAGCCGCCACTCACCCAGGGTTGGGGAGCTGCCAAGGTGCGGTGTTTAAGAGCAGGGACATCTGAGGCCAGGAGGGTTGAGGTTCAAATCCCAGCCCTGTCACTTACCAGCTGTGTGACCTTGAGCAAGTTACTTAACCGCTCTGTGCCACAGGTGCCTCCTTGTAGAATGAGAATCACGTTATACCGTTCTTACGAGAATGAAAGGAGTTAATATCTTTGCAGCTTAGAGCAGTGCCTGGCGCCCTGGGTTTTGATAAATAAAAGTCGTTTGAGTATTCTGTGCGTGCTGGGGGCCAGCTCTGAGCTGAGTGCTCAGCCTGCACCTCTCATGACAACCGCACAACAGCTAAATGCTCATTTATTCACTCGTTCACTTGCCCGTCCTCCAGCACATACCCAGCCACAGACATCGTTTATTACTCCCATTTTACAGACGAGAAAACCGAGGCTTAGAGAGGCGAAGCTGCCAGTACAGGGTTGGTGGCAGAGCAGGCGCACAGTGGATCCAAAAGGACTTGGGTCCCTTTTGCAGCCCACTCATCTTACCTTCCCACTTCCCAGGTCTGGTTTCAGAACCGCCGGGCCAAGTTCCGCCGAAACGAGCGGGCCATGCTGGCCAACCGCTCCGCCTCGCTGCTCAAGTCCTACAGCCAGGAGGCCGCCATCGAGCAGCCCGTGGCTCCCCGGCCCACCGCCCTGAGCCCAGATTATCTCTCCTGGACAGCCTCGTCCCCGTACAGGTGAGCGCGGGAACCCCTTTCGGGTCGGGAGTGGGCAGCAGCCTGGGGATCCCGTGGGGTGTTTTAGAGCCCAGACTCCTTTGAGGAGCTGAAGAGAGCTGTGAATGGTGCCCAGGGGCCCCGTGGCGCTGGGGTCCACCCAGGGGTGGGTGGGCGGGCAAGCATGTGAGTGTGTGCTCATGAGTGTGCACATGTAGGGGCTGCATGCGTGTGTGTATGCACATCATGTGTGCACATGATTGTGAGTGTGCATGCGTGTGCCTGTGAGTGCACACGAGTATGTGGGTGGGTGTGTGGATGTAGGGGACGGCGAGAAGATGAGGTGTATCTGGAGGGAATGAAGAATCCACGTCACCCTCAAGAAGCTGAAAACCTGCAGATGTCTCCGCCGGCAGGAGCATCCAGCATCCTGTGTTGTCCATTCCAAGAGAAACAGGCTGGGCGGGCTGAGAGAATGGCCTCCCTGTCCTGGGGACCTGGTGGGACCCAAAGCCAAGTTTGTCCTGGTGAAAGCTGGAAATAGGTGGCAGGGTAAGAAGAGAGAGAGAGGAGGTGCTAGGGAGTAGGGTTTCTGCATCCCACAACTCCAGGGGGCGCGACCCACCCCTTAGTCTGTGTGAGCAGCTCTGCCAGAGCTGTGGTCTTGCGAGAGGTAACATACAGTGGGTCAGATCGTGCAGTCTGAGTCCCAGTGATGCTCACATCAGCCTCACAGCTCTTACAACTCCCTCCCTGCCTGTCCTTTCCTGGGGCAGGAGAACCACCAAGAGGTATCCTTACACACAGGTGTGTGTTCATTTCACCTCCATCCTGCTATGTGCCAGGCCCAGGGCAGGCGCTAGGGCTGAACAGAATGCAGGCCCTGCTTTCAGGAAGCTCCTGGTCCAGTGAGGAAGGACCACAAACCCATAGAGGCAGCTCCATGTCCCAGTGCCGCCTGTGGGAGCTTCTGACCCCTCCCTAACCTTGCAGCCCCAGGGGAAGGCTTCCCAGGAGAGTGAGCTGAGGCGGGGAGGCAGGAGGACCAGGGGCTGGGGTCCAGGACTGACAGCTGGCATTGGTCAGCTCCAGGCATCCTGCCAGCCACACCACCATGTCCTTGTGTCTTGTGTCACCCCCAGCACGGTGCCGCCATACAGCCCTGGAGGCTCAGGCCCTGCGACTCCGGGGGTCAACATGGCCAACAGCATTGCCAGCCTCCGTCTCAAGGCCAAAGAGTTTAGCCTGCATCACAGCCAGGTGCCCACGGTGAACTGACAGCCAGCCCCACCAGGACCCCGCTGCTTCCCTGGTCTACCAGCAACAGAAAAGAGGGCAGACATGCAGTAAAGTGAACTTCTCCTGTCCCCTGTCTCCAGGACAAGCTGAGTGGGCTCTCCTGGTCCCTCTTTCCAGCCCAGACTCCTGGGCCCAAGAGGCTGCTAAGATGCCTGGAGCCCGGCTCAGCCCCTCATTCACGGCCGCTGGAGACCTCAGCCCACAACCCTTGGAGGGGTTAGGCCAGAAGGCTGGAGCAGCAGCTCACCAAGGACCTCATTTATTTTGTGTATTAAAACCAAAAAGCTGTCGTCTTTAAGAAATAAAAAAATTTAAGCCCCAGAAGGTTGCAAGAGGGCGGATAAGGGAATCAACCCAGTGAAGGGACAGCCTTTGGGGGCCAGCTGCCCTCGTTTCTGGGCCTCTTTCTGAAGGGAGTCCTCCATCACCCGGCAGGGCCCCAGGGGTGGGGAGTGGGGTAGGAGGACAGAGACCTGCCCTGGAACCCCAAGACACCCAGGTGTTTGGGAGAAACCCTGCCATGTGACTCTGGGCAGGACCCTGACCCTACCTGGGCAGAGAGGGCAAGGTGGGTGACCATGGATTCCTGGACTGGCCAAAGGGTGTGTGGGGCAGACGCTGGAATTAAACCCCTTGCTCTGGGCATTTGACTGTGGAGGAGCCTGGACAGATGGTCTAGAAAGTGGGATACAGAGTGGAGGTCCCAGGTGGGCTCACAGGAGAGGGCAGTGGTCCTAACAGCCAAGGCCACCAGAAGACATTTTTTCAAGTCCTCCAACCCACTCTTGTGCAGATGGTAACTGTGGGTTTCAGAGGACACATGTGCCACCAGCCAATGCCAATGACCTCACTTATGCGGGGTCTGCAGAGAACTGTAGGGTGAGGGGAATGGTCTGAAGCCAGCCCTCTCCACCTGGCCCCCTGCCACCCGTCCTGATGGGCACACCCTCCAGGGAAGTTAAGAGATCATTTCTGCTGGAAGTAACCACAACCAGCCCCCAGGGAGTAGGACAGACCCCCAGAGGGTACAAAGAGGCTCGGCCCCTCGAGGGGGTTTCCCTCCCAGTAATACAGCGATCACACTGCTGGAATCCACAGATGGACCGCATTTCTCTAGTCTACCCTGCTCAGACAGCATCAAAGCGCCCCCAGAGGGCCAGCCCCCGACCCACAGGCTACATCTTTCTATATGATCTCTAACAGGTCAAAACCACGTGACAATCCTCACGCGAGGAACAGTCCCCATTTTTGTTTTAGCAGGTGTGGCAACTATCCCCGAGTGAGGCGAGGACCCTTCCCCTTCTCCCCCAGATCACGCCCGCCCTGAGATTCTTCCCCATCCTCCATTAGGAATCCCACAATGGAAGCACAGTTCATGTGGGACGAGCTTTGCCCCCTTCAGATGTGCCAACAGGCCTGGGAATGCTCACGTTGTGACTTCCTCTTGGCGGTCGGGACTCTGGTGGGTAGGAGAGCATGGAGCACCGACGATGAAGGGGAGCGGGAACGCAGGCTCCGGCTGGAGGTGGGGGAGGGGGCATTCTGCTGATGTTTGGAGCTGGCTCTGCCTGCCTGACTGTGGGGGCCAGAGAAAAACAGAGGCCTGTGCCCTGGACTATGGGGGGTCAGGGGGAAGTGTGGAGGATGGGGTGCAGCCAGAGCCATGTTTTCTTGCCCAGTTTGGCCTCTGCCTTGGGTAAGTGATTTCTGGGACTCTACTTGCCATTCATTCACTGAACAAATATTTTGAAATACTTGATGTGTGCCAAGGCTCTGCCCTGGGTCCTGAGGAGAGAGCAGAGAATTGACACGGGGTCCCTGGCTGCAGAGGCCACACCAAGCACAGGGAGCCTCAAACCTAGTCTAAGGCATCCAGGCAGACTTCCTGGAGGAAATGTCCTGAAAAATGAAGACTTCACGAAAGGGGGGAGGGGGAACCAGCATTTCTGGCTGAGGGAACAGCACATGTGAAGGCCCTGGGGTAGGCCAGAAGCTGTCTCTTTGGGCCAGTGGAGACAGTTCCCGGGCTGGACCTCCTGGTGCAGGATAAAGGTGGAGAGAAGCAGGGATCAGCTCACGTGGGGCTTGTGTCGCCAGATCTAGACGTCTGGACATCACCCTGGTAGTGAGGGACCACGGAGGGGGTTTTCTTATTGGGGGACCTGCCCCTTGGGCTCTGTGTGGAGGCAGAGAGCCCTGCAGAGGCTGGAGCACATGCCCAGGCAAGAGGGGCAGCATCCTGGACCCTGTGGGGACAGAGTGGGTGATCTGGGAGATGTCCCTGGCACAGCAGGAATAGGGTTGATGACTAGATGATGGACTGAGGGAGAAGGGGGGACCGGGGGCCAGGATTTGTCTTAGGCACATGGGTGTGCCTAGGAAGAAGAGACCCAGGAAATAAGACTGGCTTGGCGGAGGTGCTGGGAAGATGCTGGCCTGTCCTTCCACCCAGAAAAGCCCTGGGGCCATCCTGCTCTGAGCAGGGTCTTCCCTCACAAGCAGTTTACCCACCATCCCAGGGATTTGCACCAGTGAAGGGCCAGCCCACAGGGCCCAGAGCAACGATGCCTTTATGGGCAGCCAGGAAGAGTGGCCTCTCTCCCTGAGAAGCATGGACTGGTTGCGAACGAGTAGGCGAGCCCGCCCAGGCCCCCGGCAGCCTCCAGAGCTCAGATGGAGGCACGACGGTCTTTCTATTTTCAGTCCAAAGGGAGCGGCCATGAAGCATCACCAGGTTGGGGCTGCCTGCAGCAGAAATTGGGTCACACCGGGCGGGGGGCTCCCACTAGGGCCTGAAAGGCGGGTCTCAAGAACACCAGCTCTGGAAAAAGCCATGAGCTGGGTCCTCACAGAGGCACTGGCCCTGCCATAGGGGCAAAGGGATGTCAATGTCACTTCCTCCCGTCACTCTAGAAAAAACAAACCGGCTTAATCGCTTACACATGCTGCTCTGCGGCGCTGAGGGAGGGGCCACGGTGGCCCTCCTTGTGAAAGAAAATATATTCAAACATTGCTGTCACTATTGTAGCCCTAATTGTAGGGCTGTGTGGGCACCCGTCCCAGGATATAATTTTCCATGAGGAGAAGGTGCCCAAGGCCCCGCCCCCGGCTGGGAGACCTTGGGAGCCCCGTCTGTCTGCCTTCCTTTGCCCCTTTGGCCAAGCTTGTGGGAGGATATTGCGTGTCCCTGCTTCTGTCTTTTGTCTGAAACAAAGGAAGTTGAGTGAAAGAGAGAAACTGAAGGAAAGGCAGTCTAGCTCTTGCAAAACCCAAAACCGGAGAAATAAAGACCAGAATTTTACCTTGGGCAAGGCACTTCTCCGGGCCACAGTTTCCTCCTCTGTAAAATGCGGGTGATAACAGAAGCCACTCCCCAGGGTTGTTGGCACAGAGTTACCGTCCATTAATGCGCACTTTGGTGTTTATGGTGGAAAAGCGCTGAGCGAAGGGGTAGTTTGAAGAAGTCGAAATACTCTCTGTCCTGGGGTGAAATCACACTTTCCCTGTGCAGAGAACACGGCTCTTCCCCTTGTGCCTTCCAAGCCTACATTTCTTGGGCGCCAGCAGGGCACCAAACCAAAATGGCGTCCCAGTTCCTGCACCTCTGCCGCCTGCCCCTGGAGGGCGCTGTGGGGTTACTGCCGCCCACAGAGCTGGGAGAATACCCGCCCTCTCCCGCAGGATCCCCGGCAGGCTCCTGACCCAAAGACAAAGAAACAGGCAAATCCCAAGCCACCAGCAGGGGTCAGAGCGTAAGCATCAGCACAAAGCCTCCTGGAAAATGTACCAACAGCCATGAAAAACGTTTGCATGTCTTCACCCGGTAATTCCATCTCTGAGACCCACTTCAAGAAATAATCCAAAAAGGGGGGAGGGGGGAGGGGTGTGTGCCAAGATGTGTATCATATATTTTCATACATGAAATGTAAAAAATCTGGAAGACACAACCCAAAATGTCAGTACTTTTCATTTTATAATGACTCACAATCCACTTGTCTCTGTTTTCTGTAATGTCATGAGGCTAATAACCTCATAGGGAAACAAAACAAGCAGGCCGTCTTCACTACATAAAGAGCTCTTTGAAGCAAAAAAAACGTGTTTCCTTCCCTTTTGTGTCCCCCTTGCTGGCTCTGTCAGAGCTGGACAGTCTTCTCTATACCTACTGGTAAGTGAGTGGCCCCTAGCCAAAGCTCTCTAGTCTACTCTGTTATTCCACCATTAGTCCTTCAAGTCTTGAAGCTTTGTGGTCTTCAAGAACTCCCTTCTCTATTGTAAGTGCTGGGAAGAGAGTATTGGAGGGCTTCTTAACTCAATTCACATCATAGAAAAAATGGGACTGGATTGAGTTTGGGATATGAGGGGTCAGGAGTGGGCACCTTGAAATCGGAAGGTGCACTGGAAAAAGTGGTGTAGATGGCATAATTCTAAGATGGCCTCATGACTCCCACCCCAGGGAGACATACCCTCTGTAATCCCCTCTCTTGGGTAGGGGTAGAACCTCTGACTTTCTTCTAACCAACAGAAGATGGCGAAGATGAAAAGATTTAGCAGATATGATTAAGGTCACCAACCAGCTGACTTTGATCAAAAGGGAGGTTATCCTGGGTGGGGTCGACCTAACCAGGTGAACTCTTTAAAACAGAGTCTCCATCTTCCCTGAAAGAAGAGATTCAGGGCAGAGAGATGCTCTCTTGTTGACCTCGAGAAACAAACACCTGTGCTGTGACCTGCCTGTGGAGGGGACGTCTCTAACAGCCGAGGGCCTCAGTCTTACAACCGCAAGGAACTCAGTGCTGCCAACGATCAGAATGAGCTCAGAAGAGGACACTGAGCTCCAGCTGAGACCTCAGCTGGGGTCTTGACTCAGCCTGTGATACCGTGAGCAAAGGACCCAGGGAAGCCATGCCTGGACTCCTCACCTACAGAAGCTGTAAGATCGTAAATGGGTGTTATTTTCAGCTGCTACATTTGTGGCAATTTGTTACACAGCATAGAAAACTAGTGCAGGTGAAGATGGACCTTGGAAGTCCTCCTTGAGCTTGACCTATCTCTGCCCTTGGCACATCCAAAGAACCCCCAGGCCCATGACAGAGGAGACTTGAAGCCTCTGCTCAAATTACCTGCTGTCTTATCATCTTCTGGGCCATTCTGCACAAGTTGACAGATTAACTGCCCCGAAGCACAGCCTTATTCAAGTTCCTCTCTTGCCTAAAGCCTCCTGGGGTTCCCCAGGGCCCGCCCAACAAAATTCCATCACCCAGGCCAAGTGTTTGAGGCCCCAGCATCCAGCCCTGCCCTCCCTGTCTAGCTGTAAACCCCTTGTCCCGTACCCTAGGTTCTTCAGACAACCCTGACAACTCAGTCTTCTCTCCCCACTGTGCTCTGTCCTCTCACTGTCCCCCTGCGGCAGCACCCTCCCCACCCAGCCCCTCTCTGCCAGCACCCGCTCTGCCAACGAAGGTTACAATGTAATGTCCGCTTTTGTTAAAAACAAGTTGAATTCCAGACAGTCAGCAGGCACATCAGCATGTCTAGGGAGATGTATGTCATTTTGAAAAAGAAAATAATTCAATGTTGTAATTTTATATTTGGAAAAGTGGAAAGAAAAACCCTATTAGTTTCATAATTCAAACTCGTAGACTTCCCGGCTGGCGCAGATCCCAAGAAGAGCAACCATTGTCTGCGAATCTCCAGGGAGCGGAGGTGAAGAAACACGACCTTCCTCAGTCTCTCTCTCGGATAGGTATACATATTAGACTATAAATATTATATATGTAATATACATCGATATAAACATATTGTGTATATTACATACAATTTGCATATATATTTAATATGCATAGTAAAAAATCTGGAAAATCGTAAATCATAGCGTGAACAGTGGTTTTCCCAGGGATGTGGGATTGTGGGTGGTCTCTGCCCTTTATATATATGCTTGTAAATTTCCCTTCTTGGCTACTAAAAATTGACAGAGTTCTTTTTAGAACTGTATCCAAATTGGAACCATCTTTTTGGAGGACAGTATATACCACAAACCTTAAAAACAGGCATGCCTTTTGGCTCAGTAATTTTACTTCTTGTAACATATCTGCAAGCAATGGATGTCCACAGAGATTTATGTACAGAGGTGCCCAGGAAAGCATTGTTTATGCTGATGCAGCCTGGAAAATTAATTATCCAACAATAAGGGCAGATTAAATAAATGATGAGGGTATCCAGAATGATGGAATGTCAGGGAGCTGTTAAAATTCATGATATTGACCATCGAAAAGCCTTGGGAGGACTTGCAGGTGTATTATTAAGGAAAGTCTCAAGTGATGACAAAAGAGCCAGTCCAAGGTCTTGCTGTGAGGCTGTGAGCCCCTGAGTACAGATGCCACCCACATCTGTGACACAGCAACGCTCCCCAGTGCCAAAACACCTCGATCAACATTTTACACATATTCCTCCATTTAATAGAAACGCCCTAGAAGGCAGGTGCTCTTCCAAGACCCAGGGACACAGGCATAGCCAGGGACAACACAGACCCAAAGGTTCCCCTGCCCCGTCGGGGAGGCTCACGTTCTGAGGAGACGCTGACACGGAGCTAAATGAGGAAGATCGGTGCGGGGCCTTACGCCG